AACGACAACGACGTCGGCTCAAGAGCGGCTCCGCCCCCAAAGCACCCTGGGACGCCGGCGGCTGAGCGGTGCGACGCCCCGCCCCTATTTTACATAGCCGGGGGGGCGGGAGAGCCACGCCATTCCCGTCACACCCCGCGCGACCGAAAAAAGCCTCCAATTCCAAAAAACATAAGAATCACGGATGAAAAAGGACGCTGACCACATATGGACTGCATATTCCTTATTAAGCATTAAATCTTCACTTAAATGGGATAGGTTTTAAAAGCAGCGTAATTCACCGTAATCAAAATATTTTACAGTATCTTGAGCTTTAAATACATTTGAAGTAAAGAGACTGTTTGTGCTCGCTTCGGCAGCACATATACTAAAATTGGAACGATACAGAGAAGATTAGCATGGCCCCTGCGCAAGGATGACACGCAAATTCGTGAAGCGTTCCATATTTTGCTCCCTTAGGTTCATATTTTGCCCGACTTTGATAAACGTCACATATTTTGGTGCCAAGTCCCGCCCCCGGCTCTTCCCCCTTTCCTGCCACCGTGGGGCTGCCAGGGGTCCTGGGCATCCCGGCTGGGCCTTGCCCCCCGCAGCCCTAGTGTAGACGGAGCTCCGGCGCCATCCAGCTTTATTGCTTGGTTGCCCTGACCGAGCCAAGCTCTGCCCACGCCAAGGGCAGACAGCACCATGTTCACTCTGAGCCAGCCAGGGAGACGGTGCCTGGGCTGGCCTTGATTTATTTTGGCCTGGCCCCTGTATTTGCTCAGCCTCATCAGCTTGGGTGCACTGTGCCCCATCCAGGGGTGGCAGGCCCATGGCTGCCTGGCCCTGTGGGTGCCCAGCTCATGCCAGGATGGGTTGCAGGCATCCCTGGCCTGGGAGCGGCCGGAGCATGGGTCCAGTCTGTTGACAGCGGCTGTTTGCGTTGCTACCAAGCGCCCGGGAAGCCTCTGGCAGTGCCACTAAGGTGGAGCAGGGCAGGAGACAACGGGGGGTTGGCACGGGGCTTCCTGGCACCTGTGAAAAAGAAGTGGGGGAGGAAGGGAGCCCCACGCATCAACACGCATGTGAGCATGCCTCCCACCCAGCCATGTGGACACGGGGGCTGCAGCAAGGGGCACTGGATTTCTGCCCACTTGCTGCCAACATGCCCTCCCAGCTTGCAATCTGCCCCCTTGGCCAGGCCGCTGGCATGGGCTGCGCCCCCTTCTCCCACCTCTACCCACTGGGTCCAATGCACTTGGGGGCACGTACAGCACCGAGCGCAAAGGGCCCCAGTGCCTGGGCATGGCCGTAGGCTCCCCAGCGCACACCACGAGGGAGCAGGGGGCAGAGGGGTAGCCTCGCTGATGGGGGAGCAGGGGCTGGGGGGTATATGGGGGCAGGGAGCCGGGCCCTGAGTCCACCTTAAGAGCGGGCAGGCGGGCCCCACCCTGTGGCAGGCACGCACGGCCATTGTTGGAGCTGGCGAAGCCGCCTTGCTCCTCTGGTTTTCTCAGCTGTGCTGTGGTTACCCCCCGGGTCCAGGCGGAGCAGGCTGGGCATGGGACAGGGCCATGCACGGGGGCACGGTGGGGACCTGGGGCCCGCCTGGGTCCAGCCCCTCCAGGCTCCCTGTAGCCTAGCACCCTTGCCCACACAGCTGCCCCCCAGCCCCTCTCCTCCCTGCCAGCACCTTCCAGGCAGATCCCGGGAGGCCGACAGGCATGGGCTTGCAGCCCCTGAAGCAGAGGAGCCGGCCGCGGCGCCTGCCCCCCATCGTCTGGACAGACCTGATCTTCCGCCTCCCCCTGCCGCAGCCCCCCAGGGAAGGTAGGGCTCAGCCGTAACCCTGCTCCCGGCCCGGCACCTGACGGCTTCCCAGGGGCTTTCCAGCCACGGAGCCCTTTGCTTGAGGCTGGAATGCAGCCACCTCTGGGGTGGGACGTGGCGGCCATTCAGTATGGAGGAGTAAAGAGCAGCGCACCCAAGCGAAGGAGTGGGGCTGGGGTGGGTGGCACAAGGCGCTGCCTGGGCAGAGCTTAGGGACATGGACAGGGCTTGGATTCGGAGCAGAGGGGCAGCCCCACCTTCAGCTCTCAACGCTCAATCCAACCTGGCCTGGGTGTTGCACGGGTCTGGCCTCTCTCATTGCAGATGCCCCCACGGCAAAGACATGGTGCCCGGCGGGGAGCCCGAGGCAGGATCTGGCTGGCTCCCGGTGGGGGCCCAGGGCCGGCCAGAGGCGGGAGAGGAGGAAGAAGGCTGCCATTGCCAAGACCTCCACGCCGAAAGAGGAGATGGCCCCTTCTCCGCTCAGCTGCTGCCCCTCGCAGCCCCCTGCCGCTGCCCCCCGGACCAAGAAGATCCTGGTTGACCTTCGCCCCATCCTGGACAGCATCGTGGAGAGCCCCGAGCCGAGGACTGCGTCCAGCCGCGGGGCACAGGGAGCCGACGGGCACGGGGGCCACGATGCACAGACCCCCAGCCCAGCCCCCAGAGTAGATCAGGCTGGCAGGGGTGCCCCGCTGCCCCCCGTAGCACCACGGCCCCGGGAACACCAGCAAGAAGCAGTCACCTCCGGGCAGCCCAAGAGCCGGGCATGGGGGCTGGGAGGCACCTCGCTGGTGCTGGGGTGGGAGCCGGGGCCCCCCATTTCCTTGCCACTGCTGGTCGCGGCAGCCGAGGCATCAGCCCCTGAGCAGAGCAGCGCAGCGGACACGGTGGGTGCCCCCCTCGGGTCCCAGCACGGCAGATCCCGAGGGACCGGGTGCGACACGGCCCCCGCTCCACTGCAGGAGGGCAGGGAAGACCCCCACCCCCATGCCCCCACAGTCCCTGCCTGGGACGAGCCAGCCCGGGGCCCCGCTGGCAGCTGCGGGGAGGGCGACGCTGTTCCTCCGCCCCAGGCCAATGTGCTGGACGCCCTGTGGCCCCCGTGCTCCCCGGACGTCCAGCTCCCCACGCGCCTGCTTCTGTGGCGGCTGCAGGAGACCACGTCCAGCGGGCACCACCGGCTCATCGCCCAGACCCTGAGGGCTCTGCGCACGGAGCTGCAGGACGAAGCCACCAGCCTGGGCAGCGAGTGAGTGCCCGCGGGGGAGCACAGCGTGGGCAGGGACGAGCCGAGGCTCTCCCCAGGCTGGCCTGGGTGGCACAACCCACCTTGGCGGGGCAGGGCAGTGGAGCAGCGGGGCACAGGGCTCAGGCAAGGCGGAGACTCGCTAAAGGGCACTAGGAGGAGGGGAAACTGAGGCAGGAGCCCTTAGATCCTCCCTAGCTGCAGGCCCCTGGGAGTCTCCAGTACCAAGCAGCTCATTCAGCAAGTCCAGAAAGGAGCCAGGAGGCCTAGCTCTAACCACTGGACCACGCTGCCCCCCATGTGAATGCCCAGAGGACCAGATCCGAGAGCCAAGCAGGAGCAAGGGCGGGGGGCTCAGGAGCTGGTGCCGTCACCTGCCCCGGGCCTGACGACCCCCCAACCTGTCTGGTTTCAGGCCGGAGCGATGGCGCCTGCCCCACGACCTGCCCGGGAGCCGGCAGGGAGACGCCAGGAGGCCCCGGGGACTGCTCCCAGCTGCCCGGCACAGGAGCCTGGTCGCCCGCACCTGGGCCGTGGTCGGGTGAGTCTTCCCGGCAGCATCTGAAGCCCCATCGCAGCCTCGGGGGCCGCCCGTTTCGGGGTCCCCTTCACTCCCCCCGTCTCCCGCAGCCCCAGGACCCATCGCTGACCAGCACCGAGGCAGCTCTGGCTCCCCAGCCCAGGTCCTTCCCACCCCGGAGCCCCCCGCCCAGCTGGGCCAGCGCAGCTCCGGAGCAGGGGGCCCACGGGTGCTCCTGGCCTAACTCGGCGGCTGATTGCAGAGGTGGAGAAGGCTCCTGAACCAGCAGAGCCCAACTCAGGGCCCTGGCTCTGCTGCTGCTCACATAAACCCAGCCTTCACCCAGCAAGCCCCAGTTCCCCAGCTCTAAAACGGGGAACAGCAGCATCTCCTGGTCCCCGCGAGGGGCTGGGGTGAGGGACCCCAGGTCGATGGACTGGGGAAAGAGGCCGCTGGAGAGACCCCGATGCCCCTAATAAACCTTCCCGGACAGGCTCCGAGTTATCGTGTGCATCTTTAATTAAAGTAGCATGTCCAAGCGGTCTCTGCTTTACCAGCACCAGAGGATGGGGAGCTGCAAGCAGGACCAGCCCCGGTGCCCCCAGGGGAGCGTGGCCAGGCTCCAGCGTGCGGTCAGCCCTTAGGAGGGGGCCGGGGAAGCTGGGCCTGAGGGGGTCGGGGCATGGGATAGTCAAGGGCTCTGCAAAGCCCTTGGGAGGGCTCAGCCCTGCTCAGGCTCCGGGAGGCTGGTACCAAAACTGCCGCCCTTGTACCAGGGACAGTCCCAGGCCGAAGGAGTGCAGGGAGGGGGTCCTTTGGCTGGAAATGTGATGGAGATGGGCTCCCGCTGCAGGACAAGGGGTCCCTGAGATCGGGACGGGGTGGGCTTTATAACCAGCTCCAACCCCAGATTACATCAGGGCGTTGTGGGGGTGGCATGGGGTGGGGGGGTAGGACCCTGAAAGGCCCAGCCTAGCCCTCTCCCCCCGTCCTTGTGCGTGTGAGCGGCTGGCTCAAAGGCAGATAGGGCTCC